CTACTGAAAATGGCATGTGAAATCAGCTATAGCATACAACTCACAAGTTGCTGCATTTACTCCCCAAATTATGATGACAGAGTCAAAGACTGCATGATATATGTTGACAAAATAATAAATAATTTATTACTGCTAAAAAGTTTTATTAAAACAAAGTCAAATAGTATCCTGCAAAGTACATAATTAAAGGAGATAGATAGGAAGCATGAATAATATGGTGCTACTACTATTTTTCAACAAGCCACCAAGTGCATGGTCTGATAAAAAGAAAAGGTGGACTGAAAGAGCCCCAGGTTAAACCAGTTGCTTATTTTCCAAACACATGCCTTATAATTTGATTAGTGTAATACCCCAATTCAAATGAATTTATGATAAATTTATTGAAAAATTTTAAAATAATTAAAAAAAATCAAATTATTTTAAATTTTTTATTTTAAAATAATATGAACGTGTCATGTTTTTTGTCTCGAGTAAAGACAGTTAGGCTACTGGCCAACTCGTAGTACATTATTTTACCTTTCAAAATTCAATAAAGGACTAAAGCTGAAGAGCCATGGGAATGAAGTTTGCATGGGTTTTCCCTAGGTACCGAACGATGAGGGTTATCCGAGCTATGTGCCATTTACCCGTTCACCGACCATCCCAGTATGGGTGGGGTCAAGCCACCTGAACCTCGGTTTAAGTGGGTTGCAAAGGTCTAATGATAATACAAGCTGCGAAGCCCCGCTCTTGAATTTGGTTCGAAGCTCCTGTCGAGTTCTACCTTGAAGCCCTCTTATGTTATGTCAACATAATAATGACAACAAATATTGATTAGGCTATAGATTGTGTGTATGGGACCGGTATGAATTTCATGTAGAACAATAATCTTTAAGGAATATATCTTTTTTCTTTGAGATGAGCAATAGCATAGACACGGGCTACACCCTACATAGGATCAATTTTTGATGGGTCAGGAACCGAAAGAACCCGACAAATCCTTTGGTGTCTCATTTCTATCTTATAGACGTGGCCGATCTCAACTCATTGTTTGAGGGCCCACCCAATGGGCTGATGTCGTACATTAACGGACCTTGAAAGGCTCGTCCTAAATTAGGCGAGGCAGTTGTCACGTCCACCCTGTGGGCCCATTTATATATCCTATTTGATTGTTGTACCATAGCCCGAGTCCAAAGTGGTCCAAGTCCTTAAAAGTTTTCGCCAATCATGCTCCAGGTCCAGGAGTTCAGGATTCATCAATTTTCTTCGCTCATTTTCGAAATAAGAAAATCTTTTATCCTCAAGCTGAAAATAGAGCAATGACAGTGCCCCTTGTGTTCCCCTCGTTAGTTTGGCAATGGATGCGGAAATCTATTCTGTAGAGGACACCAAACTATATTCTCTAAGCTCACATAAATTCCTTCAAAAATGTTTTTAAAGAGTGTATGCAACAATTTCCTTTTTTTTTTTTTTCTTACAAGGTTTAGAAGCAACCATTAACCATAGTTTGTGAGTAATTAAAAATAACTGGTTTATAAATTGCCAATACCTTCATCAAAGGGTTTACATGACAAACAATTTTGACACCCACCCTAACCAATCATCTAATCATGTGCTTATTACCATATCGTTCCCAAATTTTTCATCGTCTCTAAGTAGTGAATATCTAATCTACTCACCTAAAGCACCAAAAGTAAATATAATAATACGTTAATAACAACATTTCAAAGTAGTAAGAAAATAAAGAAGGATCATAAAAAGTTTTACAAAATTTTAGTCTTTACATAAAGTTAAATTCGTGAGAAGTGAACTTACGTAAAATAATATATTAATAATTATTTGATTTATTAATAAAATAATAAATATTTAATTTTAGTAATCAAAGTTTAATTCATTTTAATTTTAAATAAAAATATAAAAAAAATATAATTTAAAAAAATACATTCAAATTATTTAGACCGATTCTTTTTTGAATTCTTTCGCAATTTTCATAAACGAATCTTATAATGTTTTTGTACGAATCTTGAACCAATTAATTGGGAAAAAAAGGGGGGGGGGGGGAGTGGATTTGATTTGATCACGTCTTGTTGTCTCAATTTTGGACACCCTTCCTTTTCTCCCTCTCATCTAGGGATGGCATCGAGGCGAGACGGGTCGATTTTTTACTTTCTTCGCCTTCGACTCGATGCTTTAATGCTTCTATCCGATATTCGACCCGTTCCCGCTCGGAGGTTATAGTTGAAAAACCCGACTTCGACCCGTTTAAATATTATTTACCCAAATTTTATCCGACCTGAGATTACTGAGAGGAAAGCTTGGTTGTTACAATTTTTTTTTCTCAAAAGAGGAAACGACAGCTCTTAGGGATTAAAATTGGCTCGTCTTCTTTCTCTTTTCTGTCCGATTGACTTTCTTCTTTCTAGCTTGAAGGATTCCTTTGCTGAATTAAAGGAAAGAATCTAGAAATAGATAAAACCTAAATAGAGGAAGAAATGTGGGATGGCTAGATGGGTGGATGAGCAGATCAAGTTCGTGGTAGGTCATAGGCGTAGGAGCTAGGCGAAGCTCAGGTGGTGATGCAAATGTGCGGTGAGCGTAATAGCCCCTTCGGGCATGCTCCTTGTAGAACCAAGCAAAGAACGAGTGACCACAAGCGGAGCTTAAGTGCTTAAGCGTATGTAGTGTAGAATCGGATCTGAAGCTCAAGCTCTGTACTAGGATTAGAACAAGCGAGGAACGAGTGACCACAAGCGAAGCTTAAGCGCTCGACATGCAGTTAGCTCAAAACATGTTCATCATGTGGCAGATAGAAGCAGAAATGCAGAAGCAACCTGGCAGATAGAAGCAAAAATGCAGAAACAGAACAGATGAAGATGACTTACAACTGAAAGTATGGGAGACGGCCAAACGGGAGACCTAGAGCGGCCAAAAGAAACTAAAATTCAGAAACCCTAAAAAAAATTATATATATATATATATATTAAGGGTATTTTGATAAATATTTCGAGTCGACTCATCACTGTATGTATTCCCCTTTCGCTGTTTTTTCCTCGTGCACCGCCTTTGCTCGTGAGTTGACACGCGGTCCTGAATGGACCATAATTTCCTCTACTTTTTGCTCTATTTACTTAGCCTTTTTCCTGACTGCTTACCTGGGCTGCCCTACTGGCATCCTGTTTCAAATTTTGAAGATTTCCAATAAAGTATGCTACAGGACAACCTATGTTTCAACTTTTGTGTTTGGACCAAACTGTCCTCTTTTCTTCCTGCCTTTTAATTGAGATTACCCCAATTTTAAATTTTTTTTAAGTTTTTTATTTACACTTAAAATCTTTATATGTTTAGTTGAAAAAATATTATATACTTAAAATTTTTTTAAATTCGTAATTTTCAAACATCAATTTTAATAATATATCAATTTTACTTTTTTTAAAATATTATAATAGTAACAAATATGTGATCTAACTGAAAGTGGCAACCATGTAAAGCAAATTTACACTTATTAATTAAAGTATTCCTATATTTCTTCTGGATCAGCATTTGGTAACAGGGTTTTTTTTAGATTTGAACTAATACCAAAAGTTAACAAAAATATTTATAATTCAAAATTTTAATTTATTATATAATTATATTTAAAAATTAATATTTAATAATTTTAAATTTAAATTTTAACACATATAATTCATTCACTTATTTTTAGATTATGATTTTTGTTAAAAAAATTAATAATAATACTTAAATAAGAGAAATTGAAATTTTTTTTGTTGATTGCTTGTTAAGATTAGAAATGATAATGGATCAAGCGGGGATAAATTTTTGTTCGCTCTAAATTTGATCCAATTTTATATTCATAATATTCGAATTGATAAATTTTTTTATTTTTATAATTGAACCTAATTCGATTTGATATTGTATAAAATCGTATCTGATTCATCAAATTTAAAATTAATAAAATATTATTTTTAATATAAAATATTTTTTTTAATGTAAATATAAAATTAAATAAATATAAAAAATATATAATTTTTTATATATAAATCGGATTAAATCGAGATAAATTTTTTTATTATTATTATTTAATCTGATTCAATTTAAAATTTAATTTTAAAAAAATGATCTTATGAAATTAAATCAAATAAAAATCTGTCAAATGAATTGAGCTGCCATCTCATTTAAGATAAAACCTATCCTTTTAATAGTTTTTGTTTTCCTATTGAAGAATTATTAAACCAATAAAAATAGGATTTAAATACTCGAGTAGCACATCGAGCCCCTAAATTTGAATAGACCTTGTCAATTAGTTTACCTTCAGGAATTAGATAAGAAAGCGACTGGCTGACTAAGGCCCCCCTTAAAAGAAACATTGCCTAATTAAATCAATCAACAATACCTGCAAAATTTTGCATTAGATCCCTTCACATTGTGGCAATAAAAATTGATTGAAACAAGCAAAATTGCTCTATTAGGCTGGAATTGTTGGCTGGAGAGGGCCTGAACCAGTATTGAAGGTTTTGCAGTATAAACCTCGAATGCCAAAAGTTATTAATCACGTTGCCAAAAATTTTAAATCTTCCCCAACCCACATTAAAGGGCAAGAGGAAGAAGGAAAATAATACGTAATTTAACTATATCTTTTTAATAATATCCAAGGAATTTTCATGAAAAAAATGTTAATTTGTTATTGAAAATTTTGTATTTAATTTAAAAATATATATATTGATGTATTATCAATATATTGTTAAATAATATAATAATATTTTATAAAAAATAATTTTAAAATTTTAAAAAATATAATTAATTTTAAGAATATTTTAAAATTATTTTTTATCATTATAAAATTTATTGTTAATATATAATATTAAATAATAATAATAATACATCAAATATGAATAACTAATCTGTTTAGTGGAAAAAAAATTAGGTGGCCAATTGTCGGAAAAGAAAAAGAAAATACTTAGAAGATATAAGTGGAGAGGGTAAGAGGGGTATTATTGGAAGTTAAAGAGTTGTCGTGACTTTTGTCAAAATATGATTTTCTGGTAAGATAACAACGATATTGAGCATGTAACATAACGTAATATATGCACATAATTTAAGAGCCGGCCCATCCTCTGGTGATTTTTATTGGGTTTAGAGAGGAGAAGAGAGAGAGGTGAGAAAGCAAAAATCCCATCTCCATTGTTGCCAAATTTGAACATATATCCAATTGAATTCCTGTCTGTTTCAGTTTCCAGGAATTATTTTGTTGTTGTGGTGGTTGTTATTGCCTGTTGCTGTTAAGGCTTTCTCTTTCTCTCATGGGTTCTGCTCTGACACTCAAAAAGTTCTGAGAGAGGCTTCCTTAAGGCTGAAGCTCTTTAGGATTTTTGCAATGGGTTTGAATAGACCTCAAAAGCCTGGCAATGGAGTTTCTACCAGATGGGTTTCGTTCTTTTGCATTGCCAGCTTCTTCTTGGGAGTACTTGTTGTCAACAGGTTTTCTTTTTTTTTTTTCTCTTCTCTAAGTGGAATGTGAAATGATCAAGATCTTTTTTTGAAGTGCCAAACTTTAAGATTTTCTGTTCCTTTTTAATGGCTTTTAAAATTTAGAAGCTTTAAATTGTTTCATATCTCTGCCATTTTGTTCCTCTATGTGCATGTTGGAGGATCTTGCTAATTTGGTGCAGAATTATAAAGCAAAAGGCCTCTCTATGGATAGATTTGGCTCTTAGGTTGCTAGATTTGTGGTTCCAATTGTTGAAATCAGTGTCCAGTACTGTGTTTTTGGTATTGGGTGGATCATGAGAATGATTTTACTTGGTTTTTAACTTGTTCATGGGATTATATTTGGTTGATAGAGAGATTCATGAATCAGTAAGACCTCTGGTTGACACTTGACGCTAGCTAGATTTGAAAGTCTTAGTTATGGTTGATATTGTTCTGTAGTATCTCTTGGAGGCTGGAGCAGATTTAGTAATGCATGACTCTAGGAAATAGTGAGATTAATCTCTTTGAATTTGGGTTTATAACTCCTGCAGATGAGTAGTTTGTACTTTGTACTTGATAGCTGGATTGTTTGAAAAGTTGATTTTATACTTTGGTTCAAAAGCTAGGAGCTTGCTGATGGGTTTGAAACTAATTTTGATACTAGTATTGGTAGATTTCAAAAGGATATCAACGTAGATATTAGCAAGCTGGTGGCACCTAGTGAAAGAGATATCCCGGAAAACAAAAAGCTTTTGGATGATAGGAGAAACTGGTTCATGCATTTTACTGGTTCTTGACAATAAGCCGGTACCTTTAAACTTGAACATTAAGTTGCCATCTGAATGCATCTATGAGTTATCTATCACTTTAAAGTTTGCCTTTTTTTATCATTTCTTTTCTTTAGGCATCAAACTTTGATCTCATCAATTGCATTACATCATTGCTGGTCTCTATTCTTAATTCTATAAGTCATTGCTTTTGCTTGTTAATGATAGCTTTGTTTTCAAGTGTGCATTGACTAGTGGTGTATGGCATTTTTTTACAGATTTTGGGCTATTTCTGATCCAGTCAAAATGAATGAGGAGGCTATTTCTGTACAGAAACATCAGAGAAAAGAAGTTCATCACATAGTTAATTGTGATAAGGCAAGTTTAGAGTGCAAAGTTGTCATAAGCTATATTACATGTAAAGAATCTTGTTGATATTGTGTTTAATGTAAAAGGATGCTTCTGTTCAGGCAGGTGATATTCTTTCTCAAGTTTCACAAACTCATGATGTAATTATGTAAGTTTCTATGTCTTGCTGAAGAATTCTTCGATGGGTTCTGGATTACTTTTCCACTTTATAAATCAAACCTTATCTTTGTTTCAATTTTATCTTTTAATTGAATCCCACCAACGTAAGTCTTGGGTGTTTAAAATGTATTTAGAACTTAAGATGGTTCACATGGTATATACTTTCAGGACATTAGACAAAACAATCTCCTCATTGGAGATGCAGCTAGCTGCAGCTAGAGCAGCCAAAGCAGATAGTGAGGAAGGATCTCCAATGGTTACAAAATCAGGAATTGAGAGCTTGAAGGAACGCCAGAAAGTTTTCTTTGTTATGGGAATTATCACTGCATTCAGCAGTAGAAAACGACGGAACTCAATCAGGGAAACTTGGATGCCTCAAGGTTTGATTCAATACACTTCTGGCATTCTATCAGGCATTCTCTGGCATCTAGTCAATTATTTATACTTTGATGTTATTGCTCTTAGGGGAGGAATTAAAGAGGCTGGAGAAAGAGAAGGGAATTATAATGCGATTTGTCATAGGACACAGGTAAATTCAACTGAAAGTTTGAAGTGTTTAACTTTGACATGCTAGTTAGCTACTTTAGAATGATAGTTGTGATGCAAAATGTTGTATCTGTGGTTCTCAGTGCAACCCCAGGTGGTGTTTTGGACCGTGCTATTGATGCTGAAGAAGAGCAACACAAGGATTTTTTGCACCTGGTATGCTGCTATTTACTTGCCTTGGACCAAGTTGAATTATATCTTCTCTTGTTTTGGTGTACAAAGCATGATGATGATTACATTGTCTTACAAAGAGCACAATATTTGCATTTTTTTTTTTTAAATATTTGTTTGTATAATTAGAATATGATTTTAAACCTGGTGGAATGGAGGAGAAAATTTAATCTACTTTCCAAGTAGTTTGGGGTTAAGACTTAGTTGGCTTAAGTAGTCACTTGTACGACATCTTTATTCTCACCTCTTTGCCCACACCCTGTTTAAAAACTTCTGCCTACCTGCTTTGTCTTGTTATTTGTTTATAAAATATTTGAGGTAGTTCCAAAAATTATCTTGATGAGCACTTCAATAAATATAGGTTGGATAGTTACATTAGTTTTTGAACATTGAAGCATGACTTGGTTGTTCTAAAACTAGGACTCCATTCTCAAGAAATGCGGTGGATGCCAAACTGTTGAGACATAGACCAAAAAAGGTTATTTATAGTTTCTATGAAGCTTACATAAAATTGCTCTTCTTGTTTGGCAGAATCACATAGAAGGTTACCATGAATTGTCATCAAAAACCCAAATATACTTTTCCACAGCTGTTGCTAAGTGGGATGCTGACTTCTATATTAAAGTCGATGATGATGTACATGTAAATCTGGGTTAGTGCTGCTGCATTACGTTTCTTAGGACATTCATTTCTTCTTCATGAACAGATCTGTATCAGCCTATCAGCCATCAGGGTTACTAAATTGATATGGAACATTCTACAGGTATGGTCGGTTCTACACTGGCCCGTCACAGATCAAAACCACGTGTTTATATTGGTTGCATGAAGTCTGGACCTGTTCTGGCACAGAAGTGAGGATTAAATTTTGTGAATTTTCCCAATTATCATTAGTGTTTTTGTTTTTCCCACCATAGTTACCTCTTGCTCTTGTGTACAGAGGGGTTAAGTACCATGAGCCAGAATATTGGAAATTTGGTGAGGAGGGAAACAAGTATTTTAGGCATGCAACTGGACAAATATATGCAATCTCCAAAGACTTGGCCACCTATATCTCAGTTAATCGGTAAAGCCTTTTTTGGTGATATCTTTTTATTCATGCTACTTTTCTTTGTGATCATGCTGATTATATGTTTGTTTTCTTTCTAGGCACATACTTCATAGATATGCAAATGAAGACGTCTCTTTGGGTTCCTGGTTTATTGGTCTTGATGTTGAGCACATAGATGATAGAAGTCTCTGCTGTGGTAGTCCCCCTGGTAAGATGGTTGCTGTTATGCTTTCTTATATTCAGTTGGCTATTTTCATGATTTGTTAGTTTTAGCTTTTTATAGTTACTGTGCTGGATCGAAAGCAATCTGTTAGCTTTTCATTCTTTATCCAGCAACTTGACAATATGGTCTCTGCTTTCTCCTACGTGTAAAGTTTATGTATCTGGCCCTTAAACTTTATTCCCAGGTTCTGAAAATCATACTGATCTATTCTGGTAGCAGTAGAAATTGTTACCCATGATTCTGAAACTTTGGGCACTTTCTGGATCCAAGTTATAGTTTGCTCTCAAAGAATATGTTTAAGATAAAATGCAATTTAAGAAATTTAAAGAAAAAGAGGAACAGAAAATTGCTATAGTGATTATATTCTTTCCAATGGAAACTAGAAGGGGTTGAATCTTAATGGTGAAATAGTTAAATATTAATTCCTTGAAGTTGTGTATTGCGTTTACTTTGTATTCTCAGTTCTCTCCTGCCATCGAGAGTGCGTTTAACGTAAGTAATCCTTTCATGACAATGTTTAAATTTCTTTGATAGATTGTGAGTGGAAAACTCAAGCAGGGAATCCTTGTGCTGCATCATTTGATTGGAGCTGCAGTGGCATTTGCAAGTCTGTGGAGAGAATGGAGGAGGTGCACCAGCGTTGTGGGGAGGGTGATGAAGCCATCTGGCATACAAGCTTCTGAAAACATTCAACTAACCTGGTTGTAATATATTTGTCTATGTTTGATCAATGCTGTGCGTCAAACAACCCCGTCTGCCCTGATTTTTGCCTATCAATGGCTCGGGACAGTTGGTACAGGATTACATTAATTATTGCACATATTCTCATTTCCCCCAAAAAACAAAAATGAAAATCTATTAGTTTTAAAGTTTCATTCACTTTAACTGATTGATGACAGCAGGTTGGCATTGTTGTACAATGCATTTGGAGGTTAGATCAAAACCATTTAGACAGGAGCAAAGCACATCATGATTTGCTTATATCAAAGATGTTATACTTACCATCTTTCATTGGCGGACCCATACGGCCTTGTTAGGTGAAAGAAACGCTTTCTTGGGCCCGGGAAGAGCTACTTTCGAAGTTTTGATATAGGCTTGAGGATGTTGACATGACCAAGTCACGAGAGCTCGATGATCAATCAAAAGGGAAGCAGATTTGATGCCTTGGCCATATTCTCAATGTCAATAGGGAACAGTCGATTTCCTTTAATTTTTTGGCTGTGTTCAACATATTAGTTTAATCAAACAAACGCCATAGATTTGTTCGTGGTTATGACCTTGCCTCCTTTATGGCATGATGTTACATCTTGATAAGATCGCCCCCATATCTCAAATTTGTGAATCCTTTGAGAAGATTGTCCGATGCTGATTTATCACCAAATGCCCATTAGGAACGGATGTGAAGCTTCCAAAGCTTCATTATAATGAATTCTGAATCAATCCAATAGGTAAACTTTTAAGAATGAAAACCCCCGGCATGATTCTTGAAATTACATTGTTTTTTCCAAAATTATTTTGAAAAATATCCACTTTTTTCCCTTGATATCTGCTAAAATGTTAATTTTCCATTTAAATATAACATTTATATGGGATAAAACATTATTAAAAGTGACATCGGCAGATGAATGATATATAGTACTTAATATTTTTTTTAGTTGGACTCGGACTACCATTTAGTTGTATTCGCAATTGTTATATATTAAGATGACCTTGAAATGTAATGCATTTATAGGCATCACAAGTTCACAACCACGGCCAAAAAGAAATGCAATTTTATACATCACAAATTTATGTTTCCATGTGCTAATTTTGATTGCATATTCAAGAAGTCCGAAAACCAATTGAACGTGAAGATAGTGGTTCTAGTCCTGGAAAATGAAGTGTGGTTTTTTGGTCAGTTTTGCCAGCCAAAATTGTACGCAAGATACTTAAGAAATCTCGTGAGATTTTTTAGGTACAAATAGATCTTCCGCAAGAGAAGATGAATAATTCAATAACTTTCCATAAAAATGATGTACACGAGGGACAAATACAAAAGTTAATGGACCATCTGCTCTTGATAAGAACACTGTTGTCACATTCTGATTTCTGCGTCTGCCCCCTATTTAGGCACGCTCAAACAGCCTTTTCTCGGTGCTAAAATTGCACTTCCTCAAAGACATTTTATTTGTGGGCTTGTTGGGTCTAGGACCCAAATCCAAATCAAGTTCCAGTTCCATGAGATGCACACAATTTGTATGTGAAAAACATGTTTGTTTTTAGTGAGCTGATTAAACCTAAACTACACTCCGAGGAGATCTGATTCGTGGATACATGGCCTCTAGCACATCGTGTGATTACTCGTAAAGGCAAAGAGCAGAGTCCCACTTTCCAGGCCCAACCGGTGCCTTGACATCAAAACAGAAAAAGCACATGAAGTTGTTGAATTGAAAATGGATTGGGATCCTAATTTCTCAGCCACATGGGCAGCTATGACTAGTATTTGCCGTAATCCATTTAAAGGGGGAAAAAAAAAGTAAAAACAGTAACATGATACGACTGACTAGAAGATGCTCAACGTAAGCATTTGCAAATTAATCTAAATTACCTGGCAAGTGGCATCATATCATCTGCAAGTGGCCATCCTAAATTATTACTTCATTTCAATCTGTTCTCATGGTAGCAATTTACTCAACGATGCTGGCAAACTTTTCCAGGCGTTTATTTTTCAGGTCGTGATGATACTAGATGTGTAGGACCTCTCACAGGCTTCTGAATATACTCAGCCGCAATGCTGATATGCAATTCTTGCGTGTTTTCTGGTAGCCAATTATCAAACTTATTTCCAGGCCGTTCTGCATTTTTCCCCTCTTTTTGCTGCTTGCTTTTGAACCTCAAAGGCACAAAGAATGTTCTTGCCCATTGCTCAAGTTTACGACACGTTCAATTAGTGAGATCATTAGATTCTCAAAATATAGAAAGATCCTCCATCCCTATTCCTCGTTGGTCCCCAATTATCTTTCTCCATGTTCAATTCGGGAAAATAAGATGTAAATCAGAAAACAATAAGGTTTAATTTGATTTTTTTTTAACTTTTTTTTTCAAGGGTTGTATGATAGCCGAGTAAAGAGAAAGATAATGAATTTTCTGGAAAATCATTATTTGCTATGATGGCTAATCCATCTAAAGATCGGTTCAGTACTATCTGAGCTCAAACGATCAATGGAATAAGTCAATTTGTTCGATCATATCAAAGCTGATTGCAAACATGAACAAATTTGAAGTAACAAAAATTTGCTTGGAAGTTGATCCATAAAGCTAGAAACCCGATTTCAAACATGAATATTAATAAAGAATTTCAATTCATCACTAAAGTTCAAAATTTGTACAGATACGGTATGAATTACTTTCTACTAAATTAAAACTCCTCTGTTTCAGACTCAAACTCGTATTACTTCAAACCCAGTGTAACAGAACCGCCTGGATCATGATATTAACCGCTAATAGGACACAAGGGTCTCAAAGCAGTTAAGACCGTCCAGCTCTGGTGCAAATCGAGGAGCCCTGTGTTGCTTCTTCTCAATGTTTCCTTCTTGCTTTTTCTTTATGGTATCAGTCACCTTATTCGTTACCCCTCTGCTACAAGGGAAGCTATTAGCATCTTTATATGTTGAAGAAGCAAAGGAGGGTCTGACTGCCTGTCCCAAGAACTCAGCACATAAAGCATCAAAGGAACTGAAGATTGAATTCATGATGACGATTGCTTCACTAAGACAACCCCAAAGCTTTGTTTTTTCTCTTTTGGATGGATTGCTGACCACTTCCTGGGAGAAGTTTTAGGTTTGTAGAAGATGTTGTTTGATTGCTGAGAAAAGAAGGATCAAAGGAGGCTATATATAGAGAGAGCAATCAGGTCTTTGATACGTAGAAAGGTAGGGAAAGTTTGCCTTGGCTTCCAAGTTGTTTCATTCTTTTTCTTGTGGGATTAGGACTTGCGGAATTCGCGTAACATGCGAAAAAGCTTGGATACTCCTTTCTTCAAAAGCGTGTAAGTCGGCTCTTAACCCTGGGATCTCCTTGTGGAGGGGAATAATCTAAACAGTGGTGATAAAATCAGAGCCGTCCATTGACGTCAAATGGTGGTTTACTTGGGGAAGGCACGTGCGTGACTTTGTCAATTTTGACTAGAAAATTCCACGGCCGCCATTTATATTGCTAATAAAATAGTAGTATAGTATTTAGAAGGGCCCGCCACGACTTTGTCTGTCTTGGAGTTCATTGGTTGGGTCGATGTCCCGCTTCGTGATTGCTTGAGACTTGCGTTGCAGCTAGCTGTGACTTGGGTCGATCCATATTGCGTTAAATTAAACTTACTATTTTAGTTACAAACTTACAGGAATGGAAAGGTTAACTGAACCTAGCAACTGGCAACCTTCTTTTACTTGCTCAAAGTTCAAGGAGCTTTCAAAGAGTCTCAATTGACTCAACTTCTTTTTCAGCTTTCTATTAACCTTATCTTTTAGGGTTGGGAAAATGTAGTTTTGCATTTTTTTTTTTAAAGAAAAACTTCGAATCATGCACCAATCTTCGAGAGAATCATGCATTAATTGCTCAACGAACAGTCAGATGTGAAGTTATTGGTCATTGAGAAAGTGAAGTCATGCACTTGTCATCAAATCAAATGATAAATGTCTATTAACTTTGTCTTTTTTTTTTTATAAATTTAAGATAAATAAATTATTTAATTTTTTAAATTAAAATAAAATATATTATATATAATAATTTAAGATAGATAATTATAGCTCATGCATTATGAATAAGACTTTTAACTCAAGATTTTTTTATTAAAAAAATAAATCTAATCGATTGAATCAATTATTTATAAATAATTTTATTTTTAAAAAAATTTTTTTTTTCAGTAATACTAACAATTGGATGGTTTTATAATTTATAATTTTGTCTATTTCATATATCAAATACTAATATATGGGAAATGAAAGGAAAATTGAATATAGAAACTTGACCGACTGTTCTAGAAATAGTTCCTAAAAGATAACATTTTTTAAGAGATGGAGAGAGAATTGTTTGATATGTGCATGTAAAATATAATTAAAAACCAAAGTTAAAGTGCATGTAACTTTGACTATAAAAAAAGAAAAAGTGTGGCCTCAACAACTAATCAACAAAAGGAGAAATGCAATTGCTCCAATATTTCTCCCACATACGACGGTGCAAATTTCAGCAGTCATATTCTGTTATTGACCGCTGCATTACTAGTGGGGAAAAAAAAAAAAGGATCAACACAACTTTTAGAAGTTTATCTTTATCATGTGATCTCATCTTAGTATAATTAATTAGCAATCAGAAGTTGGGTTTCTTATTTTAGATTCCAAAAGGATTATCCTGTATTGGAGAACTATATGGAGTTATTCTCTCTCTCTCTCTCTCTCTATATATATATATATATATATATATGCGCATCATCTCATGATCTCATTAAAAATCAAAACTAAACTTGATAATTCTTATATTGTTTACATAAAATATTATATTTTATATAAAAATTATGTTATAATTTTTGTTGATATAAAAAATATAAAATATAGTTTTTTATATTTATTAAATTTATATATAATTTTTATTAAAATTTTAAATTATATATTTTTATGTATTATTTTAATATTATATCACGTTTCATGCTTTAAAATATCATTTTTATTCGAAATAATTTCATAAGAAAATATTTTAACTACATCTAAATAGTTAACAAAGTTTTTTCTAGATACAGAACACATTATTTAATAAAATCATGATAATTTTAACAAATGGAGTCATAGATCTAACATTGAAATATCAATACTTTAATTTTTTATGTTTGATTTAAAGGTCAAGCCAATGAGAGTAGGTTCGACATAAATTGATTCGTATAGTGTTGTTTATTATTTAGAAGAGATTACCCAAACGTTATTTACTTCAATTGTTTTTAGTTAATCTCTACATCAATAAATTTAAAGTTTTAATTGACCAAAATGAAGTGTTACATAATATTTAATTAATAAACATTATTGTGAAGGTTAGGTTCTAAGTCAAATATTTAGATAAACTATGGACCTGAAGGCTTAAAAAACCACAAAAGATGTTCTATGTGTTGATCCCTCTTGCCCTTATCAAGGTATTTATACCCTAAGTAAGCCAAGATGTGGCAACCACAAAGCCTTAACCTAGGTGACAAAACAATGCCTGAGAGCATCGCCTATACTGGCCTATTCGGAGGGCCTACTGGCCTATACTTCATTCTCCAAATTCACAAAGGAAGTTAAGAAATAACTAAAGCAAAGTAAGAAGATTACACCATGCAATTTTGTTTTACCTTGATTGCCTTATCAGCATCGTGATCGTCAAGCGTCCGTTAATTGGCAAGTCGATGACCGCTTTAATTAGTTAAGCAGTTGGGTGATATCCAAAAAGTCAATTAATCACTTCAGTAATAAGTAATAAAACAAAAGGTACAAGTTATACGTAGAACATTTTAAACAAAGACGGTCAATTTATTTGAAATGGGCGGATTTTGATCTAATACAATCTTATAGAATTGGTTTTTTTATTTTTCAAATAAGTTTTGAGTCAAAATTTTTTTAGCTCGTTGGTCAAAGTTAAATTTTAAGTAAATCTGTATTAATCCGATATATATAAATATATATTTATTATTTATTTAATTTTATATTTATGATATTATTTTAATATTTTAATTTAAAATTAATTATTTTTTGTTAAAATTATTATTTAATATTTTAATTTAAAATATTAATTTAATAAAGATATTATATTTATATATAATTAAAATGTAATTTATTAAAAATAATATTTTATAAATATCATACTAAATTAAAATTATTAAATTAATTTTAAATTAAATCAATTACGATTTTTTACATATATTTATAGAATAAAAAATAATATTTTAATATTAAATTAAATTTAAATCAAATATAAATTTTATAAAATCAGATTAAAATCGAAACGAAAAAAAACTTTCCCCAGACCGTTGCCATCCCTAAATTTAAATCATTATTATAAATCCCACCCACTCTTCACTTTCACTGACCGACTCTCTTTACTCCCTCTTTCTTTATCTCCCTCCTTTTGATGCCACTACAAAAAATCGTAGCTTTAAAGGGTATATCTTTTTGTGGCGGTTAATGAGCCGCCTTAAATTTCTTAAATTTAACAAGTTTTTTCTGTCGAATCCTCTATGAAATTTGAAACCAAAATCTATCTCTTTCAAGTTTTCATCTTCCTCTAAATCTTTTATCTCCTTCATGTTTTTGCTTCTTTTTTTTTTTTTCAAATCAGATTTAAAACCAAAATCTAATCAATCTTTTTCAAATCAGATTTAAATTTAGACTTGATCTATTCATTTTTCATAATTTTTGAAAATCCCTAATTTTTTAATCTCTCATTTTCTCAATCGTCATTGTATTTTTCGTCAGTGCCGTTCTTTGCTTTTCTCATCTGTTAATCTCAAGTCGCTAAATCACTCCTTTGAATTTCAGCTAATAGGAAACTATACGAGAGTTTAAATATACAAGTTTGGCATCGGTAGTTTGACTGTCGAAAATTTTTCATGGACATTCACTTAGCCAGTGATCAAGGAACTGTCAATAATGATAATCTGACACTTTTTCGGTCTTTTAACGTCACTTATAAGTACCTACAAAAATTATTTTTTTTGTGGTATAATTATTTACTTGAGTGTCTAAACGTGTCCCAAAATATTATTTTATATGCCTTTGGTCATTCTCTTCTAAACAAATTATCTTCTCTGTCCAAATTAACCATTCAATCAACCTCCCAACAAAAATCCAATCACTCTATCAAAAAAATATATCATAATAAGGGGCCAACTTATTAGTCTAAACAAAATCATTAATGCGTTAAATTAAGACTTCAACCGAGGGAGGTAGTTGGAAAGTGCTATCTAAAGTTCAAAATCCAAAGCTTTATCTTCTTCATTTATCATCCCTCTCATCATCATCTACCCATCATCCATATCTTTCCTCAAGTTTTCAAGTTTTAGCAATTTTTCTTTCCATTTTTCTTCCTTTTTTTTTCTTCTGTCATCTGCATCTTTTCTCTTTGTATTTAGTTATTCTTTCTTTTCTTTCCGCTTTTTATCTTTCTCACTCTATCATCTTCAATACCCATTATCAAAGTTGCCCATGACCCAAAACCATATACCTAAGATATTATGAGTGACAATAGTTAAAATCGATTCGATTCGATTTTTTGAATAATATATAATATTATAAAATTTTAAATTTTAATATAATTTTTTATTAAATTAATTTGATTCGAATTAAATTTTATCTATTTTTTCATCATTTTTTTAAAATTTAATTTTTTTGTTTTTATTTATTATTTTAATATTATTTTTAAAAATATTTAAATAGATTTAGTTATAGATTCATTATTTTTAAAAAAATTTAAAAAATATATAAAAGCTAATAAAAATATATATAATTTGATTTGATTTTTTTTTTATGTATAGATTCGAAATTCGATATGAATATAATATATACATTTAATATCAAAATTTAATCTGAATCAAATAAAAAAATGATTCAAACCAAGCACTACAATTTTGATTTTAAATTTGTTTCAAAATTTTGTTTCTCACCCCTACTCAATACCCATTCTCTTGACCACTTGTCATTCTTAAATTTAATTGTTTAAGGTTGAAACTTTAATTTGTTAGATAGTCTAGGATTTTGGAGTCTTCAAGCATTTTCAAATTTTTTGTGTAAAACTTTTATTACTTTCAAAAAGTTCTTTGAAAATTTGAGTATGAAAGTTAAGTATTTGGTTAATTAAAAATTTGGATTGTGAAATTTTAAGTGTAAAAATTATAAAAGTTTGAATATTTTTCATTGAATTTCAAACGCTAAAAAATAATTTTGAATGTATTTACCAAATAATGAAAATTATTATTTTTAAAATTATTTTTACTAAAAATATTTTTTTGAAAGCCTTTTTAGGTGGTGTTCGGTATTTTTTACAAAATCATTATGGTAATATAATTACAAAGTGAACTTATTATCAAGTTAATTCTTGATTTTAAATCATTTTATTTGGTTAATAATTATTAATTTGTAAGAAATAAAAATTATTATGTGTAATATTACTACAAATCAAATATTACTTTATTTAAAAATATGAAAATAACCATATATAGTGCAATAGTTACATAAATTATTAATTTTAATATTGCTTAAAGATAATAGTTTATTAAATATTAGTAATATTTTATTCATTTTATAATAAAATACAATTTAATTATTAAATTAATAAATATATTTATTAATAGGTAAGTTAATGTTTATAACATAAATTATGTAAAAATATTTGAATTAGAATAAACTAATCTATTAAATTTATAATAAAAGAAAACCAATAAATTATATTATATATAAATATTAAAATTAAAAAATACATGAGTTATTTTTTAACTTGTTACCATAAATATTAGTTTAAAAATATAAAAATTTATAATATAAAATAATTATAATTTTAAAAAATAAAATTTTATTTCATATATTAAATAAGTAATATTGATAATTATTAATTTTATATATAATTTAATTTCAATTATAAAATTTTTTTACATTTTTTATAAAAATTAAATTACTTTTTAAAATAATAATTTAATCATTCTTCTTAATATAAGATCACCATCATCTAAAATTATCGAATTTTATCGAACATAATAATTTTATCATTATACATAAATTATTATAATTTTTAAAATAATAATTTAATATGAAACACTATCTTATGATTGCAAAGAGATTTACAGCAAGACCTTTTATCTTTTAATATTTCTAAAATTCTTTTTTGTTTTTGTACAAATTTCTAAAATTCTAAGCCCGCATAACTGGACATCGTTCCATATTCCATGCCGAATCAACGCACGCTGAGACGACCGAGACAATTGCAGATGGCTTAGCTACTTACTTTCTTCTGGAAATCATGGGGTAGTTTGGTTGAAAATATTGTCCACATAATGGTAGTGACTTGGTCGTAGGCTTGCCTTTCCAAAATTTAAGTAAAAAAGTGTTATTCGCGTAAGAATCAAACGCATGGATTGACTGACTCGGATTCGAACTGCGTCGAGCTTAAGCAAACACCACCACTTATTTTTCAAAAAAAGGAGCATGCCCGGTCCCCCTCTCTACTCTAGATTCCAGTACCTTTCTCTGCAATCAACGTATCTTTCCATTTATTAAATTTATTATCAATAAAGAGAAAAAAAGAAAACTCTAATTAATTAAAACGTAATTTTGTAGTGGCCACCGCCCGTATATTATTGAACCGCTGCCGTCACTTTCGTCATGCCAAGCTGGCAAGCGTAATTACACGTGGCCTTTTGTTAGTGGCTGAAGAGTTGGGATGCCGTAGACTCGACGTGGCAGCGAAGCTCTATACATATATTTTTTTAAGAATCGGCAAATCGACAATACCTAAAAGGCGGACCCAAAAGTAAAATTAAATTCCGTTAACTGGGGAAGCGGGGAAGCTTTGGAAAATATAAATGCTCCATCCACAAGGAAAGATAATTGAGTTTGCGGAAAGAGGACAAAAGAAGAACGGAAAGCTGTTGGTCGGGATCCGGCGAAGTTCGTCGGATTTCGCCCATTGTCATAGGAGCTTCTAAAGAAAAACACTTTCAATCTGAGTTTTAATAGCAGAAAGAGAAAGGAATCGGAAAATGAAGGGATCTGGACCTCTTGTTGCGTCTGTGCTCGCTGCTTCCACGGTGGCTTTCACATCATCCTCCTACGTGGGAACCCAAGATGTTTCTGTTTGCGCTAGCTCCTCCAACCAGGTATTCTTTATTTAATTTTTTTTTTTAATTTTCTCATTCAAATTTAAAACTTGGCTTATAATTTTTTCTTTCGTTTCAAAAGTGAATGTTTCGGCTTCGCTTCGTATTATTTACTGTCCTGTTTGTAATGTTCAGTGACTGCTATTTCTTCTTCTTTTTTTTTTAAATTACATTTCAATGTCATAAATTGACAGCTTAAATCTATTAATTCGCGTATCTTACTTTTGGATCTAGATTTGCTTTTTGTTTCCAATTTCCCCTTTTTATCGGCTGTTTGAGTTTCTAATTTGTTTTCTATTCTTTTATTCGATTTAACTTTTAATTTCTCTTTATATGATTGGACTATGATTCTCTGTTACCTGGGCTGTGGATTAATATCATGAAAATCTATGGATTGAAAAAGTTTTTCTTTTTTTTTTTAGACTTCTAGTTCTTGACTTTCATTGATTGTTTAGGGGGCAAAAAACGGAGCGTCGAGGAAGTGTACGGCATCAGAAAAGGAGAAGTTCGCGCCACGTTTTGATGGGTTGAGGTTCATAGAGACGTTGGTCACAGCTCACAGATAGAAGCGGGAATTAGAAACGACAACCTCGTCCGTTGCCTACTTCTGACTTTTTGTTCTTCAAAACCCCTTTAATTTTAACCAAAAAATTTTGGTTAATTTAATTGTTACTATTTGAATATGATGCGAGATTATAGAGTGCCGTTTTGTTTGGTTTTGTTTTATAATTCCTGTCGTTTTCGTACCCTTATTGTTGTTTGAGTTAATTAATTTTGATGGTGATGAAGTTAAAACTCCAATTCCTGAGGGTTATAATTGTTTTTAATTTTCTTTTGGTTTTTTTTTAAAGCGTAATTGACATGGAAATATTAAATTTGTAATTACAATTTGCCGAGTATTGGAATTTGTATCTTGAACAAAGCCGCATGGTTATGGAGGCTGTACATATCACGGGGTGCGTTGGCCCTTGCCCGGGTTTGATTTTCCCGCATCATTTCCTGGTTATGCGATGTCGTTTATCAAGTATTGCTTGTCAATACAAGAAACTTGAAAGTTACAGCAAAAAAAAAACTGCTACTTAGAAACAGAAGAAAAACGTTCCAAATTTTCAATAGAGTTAAAAGACTTGTAGTACTATTTTATCGATGATTAATCAAAACAACTTCCAATTTTTGGGGTCTTCCACACGAAGTTTTGGGGGAAAGTTGAAACCGATGAGATGAGAAAAGTGTTTTTATCTCTTGCTGACTAACCTAAATTCAACGGAGATTTAAAAAAAAAAAAACATTTGCTTAATCGAATCAATAATTGTGCTAAAGAGATTTTTTTTGAGTGGTTAGGGGATTTTTAATTAGTCAATATATTTCTTTTTTGGATAAGGGGGTTTAATTTTAAGGCTTCAACTAATATATATATATATATATATATTTAAAATTGATTTAAATATATTTATTGTTTATGCTGAATTTAATAAATTTATAAAAAAATTTACTTTTTTACAATATTACTTAAAAGAACAAACTCTTTTATCATTTATGTTAGACTTAGTAGATTCATAAAAAAAGTTTTTATAATTTTTATATAAAATAACCAACTCTTTTATCATTTGAACTAACATAAAGATTTTTTTCTTTTAATTTTTAAGGAAAAAAAAAGAAAAAAAAAAGAAAAAGAACTAAGTTTGCTTGAAAGTAGGAACAGCCAATGCGGCATTACTCTTTGCATAAAAGAATTGGACAAGCCACCAATGATGCATGTGTTCTTTGATTAGGCAACTGGCACGTAAGTTTGAATCAACAATTAATTTTGGGATCTTTTAATGTTTAGTTTAATGGAGTTTTTATTTTAAACTAGAAAATTATGAAGCAAAAACCAAAATATCATTGTCAAAAGGAAGGCGTGGAACAAGACAAGAATACAAAAAGATCAAGAAGCAATGAAGCATGAGGGATATACCAATACGACAATGGGAATATACTCGTTTGGTGCATCCTCTTTGAATTGTTGGCACACCCTACTGAAGCGGCACTCGGAAGTTGAAAGCTTTTTCTATGTTTTCTTCGATGCAAAGGCACAAAGCATTTGGGGAAACTTGTGTTCATGGTGAAAAATATAAGCCATAGGCGCAGCCTGATCTTTCGTTAGATGGGAAAGAATGTATTCGTTAGGTAAAAGACATTGGCCTCAGGTAGAAATTAATGTAAAACCAGTAAACAACGTCCAAACATGACTAGAATTTTGGTAGGTAGAACGTGCTACTCCCCTTGATAAAGTAAGATCGTTGTCTCGATTTATTTTTTGTGAACCAATGATGTAATGTGATGATCAGATACTGAGATTGCTATGGGTCTAGAATCTCATTTTAATGGCCATTTTGTCTATTCATGGCTATATTACGCCATCATAATTAAAATATTTTTCCATGTAACTACCATGCAGTAGTACTTAAATTTTAAAATTTGTTAAATAGATGGGATATGAACTCAAGATTTAGTATATAAATTGAGTGAGAAATTGTTTTATGAACTCGAAATCTCTTTTGAACATGAAATAATTTCAAAATCTTATAAGAAATTGAATTTTCATAATTTAAAAAAAAATTGTTGAGCATAAGAAGAAATTATAACTGAGATTTTCTTAAACATAATAGTAACATTTTAGCCTCAGTGCCTCCATGGAGATATGGCCCCGTGAGGCATTTGAGAGGTAGTGGCTGCGTTTCATTTCTGTGAGAGCAAAAGGTAATGAAAGGCCCCTTTAGGACAAACCCTGCCGCCCTGCTTCTTGTCACAAGCGAAGCCACTGATTCACGCCCTTTTCTCGAACAAACAAATCCTGGCCATAAGGAGTTAGTGTAGAAAAATTAAACTAGAGGTCTTCTTTTTCTAGTAAAAAATCTACGGCGAAAAATACAAAAGAAACGTATGATTCTAAAATTGTGATAGTTTTATGTATCAAATGAAGAACCAAAAAAAAAATAATAATAATAAGTTGATCAAGAGTGCTCGTGAATAATATTGCAACAAACGTATATGTGGATCAGCATCACAGTCGTAATGCATCATTTTCTTGAACTTGGCTGGCATTGCAGCTCTGATTTCCACTTTGAATGATTCACAAATTTATTACTAATTAAAAATCTTTAAAAAAGTCTTGACTCAAATTTGTGCAATATTATGGTATATATAAAAACCATGATCTCTAGAAATAGAGCTTACTAGTTTTTTTTTTTTTTTTTATGGCCAATTAGAGCTTATTAATTACTACGCTACACTTTACACTTATCTAATTCCCAAGGGATAAAATACAAATCCCATAATTTAAGTCAACAATAATTATAGTTAAAGACTAAAAGTGTATCTCAAAACATGCTTCATTTGATTTGATTTTTAACTTATTTCAAAATTTGGAATCGGATTTAAATAAAAAAGCTCATTTTCCTAACATGTGAATCACTGTAACGCTTTATGATATTCATTCTTAAAAACGAAAGTTGTCTGTACTTTGCTTAGCAACCTGGTCAAAATTTTTGGTAAATTGATTAAATTGTGTCCTCAAAATGAGTGGCAGCTGGAAACCCAAAAAGGCTAAGAACATGAAATTTCCAATTTCCAACCTCTCATGGGAATTGGCCAGGATTTCTCAATAGGAAAAATATCTTCCACCTCACATGCATTGCTGAATGCTGATGGATCATCATGATTGAAAACTTCCAATTACTAGTAGAAGAAATATAAGCACTACAAAACCGGTAGAGCAGATCATTGCAAAAAAAGATAATTGAAAGTCATACTCATGATTTTATCTATAAGATATAAGTTATATTTTTAGAAGAGCTAATTATGACCTCAGATCCATTGATTTTTACCTTTAATTTTATTCTTTTAACTTGTTTTAGATCCCTTATATAACATGCTTATTTAAAGAAGTTTTGATTCTCTTATAGTATTTATGTCAATTCTAAACCATTGTTATTGAGTTTAATTCTTTTGAACTCAATTTTACCATAGTCACATTTACCAACAATGATTTTCTTTATGAAACAAATATTCATTTAAGAAATTTCTTGAAGTGGTTTAAACCCTTCCACACATGGTTTTTTGCCACCAAACATCTTTCACAAAGTTATCATGTTCTCTTCCTGTTCCATCGCCCTTGTGAAATACATGTTGACTTTGCTTTTTTTCAACCTCACTCTGACATTTTATGCGTGCAATCCTTACTCCCTGTATAAATTTATCTTTCAGGATGTACATGATTACAAGCTTCTATTGAAGAGACTTTGTAAAATCAACAAAATCTCAATCCCTACAGAACTTTCCCTTTCAAAAAGGAACCATGGTAATGGTACCTTCCAGCATACATTTAAGAACTATACAATCACCTAGCATATTGGACCCCTGAACCATCCTACAACACTTGGTGGAGATATTTATTTCAAAGACTTGTTAATTTTGATCTTCACATCCATTTTGAACTAACTCAACTTCTAAAAAACCTTTATTGGCAAAATTCATAAGATCTTTCTAGAATTTTAGCAAATTTTGAAAATAGGATCTACAGTTTGCTATTCCAAAATTGTGATTCAGACCTTGAAGATTTTGAACAAGAATTATTTCAATGGGCATTGAAGAAACTATAATTGTCTATATTCATCAATATTATCCCAAAAATATTTCAAAGTTTCAACTAATCTGGAAACAAATCTGATCAAGATTATGTTTATCGTAACATTAGGATTGGAGTTTAATTCAACTAATTCCCTTGCTAAGAATTCTTGAAATCTTGAGGGTTATTTTGAAGAGGAATATCATCAATTATAAAGACTAAGAACTTTGATGTTGAAGAAGGAACTTGTGCTTGTTATGGATGAGGGTATTGTTCAGTATCTACTATGTGCTTATTTTAGGAAATATAGAAACTTCTCCCTTTTATAAGAAATCTCTATTATAAAAATATGTTTGACTAAAAAACTCTTTTTTCATTTGATAATTTCTTTCTCATTCTTTTATAGTTAAAGTTTTAGATTCATAGTTCTTCTATCTATTTCATGATTTGTAATAATATAAGTTAAGTATACTCTGTAGTTACCATAGTTTTGTAGATCTTCTGTATTAAAAATTCTTATAGAATTGTCAAACAGATCATTGATCCATTTCTTCAGTCAAAGAAAAATTACTTAACAAGTTTTTTAGATAAGTCACTCCACCAAGTGTTATAGGGCGGTTTAAGAGTCCTATGTGCTAGTGACTATGTAATTCTTGGATATATGATAGAGGTTATCACCATCATGGTTCTTTTTTGAAAGGAGAAAGTTCATAGAGATTGGGATTTTGTTGATTTTACAAGGTCTTTTCAACAAGAGTTTGTAATCATGTGCATATTAGAAGATAGATTTATACAAAGAGTAAGAATTATACACATAGATATCAGAGTGAGATTGAAAAAAGGTAAAGTTATCATATATTTTATAAGAACGATGAAATAGAAAAAGAACATGATAGCTTTATGAAAGATGTTTGGTGACAGAATACTATGTGTTGAGGGATTTGACAAAATTGAGTTCAAAAGAGTTAAGCTTAATGACAATGATATAAAGTTGACATAAATACCATAAAAGAACTAAAGCTTCTTTGAATAAACTTACAATATGAATGATTTAAACAAGTGAAAAAAAAATTAAGGTTAAAAACTAATGGATCTGAGGTCATAATCAACTCTTTTTTTGAAAATATAATATGAATCCTATAAATAAGATCATGAGCATGATTTTTAATTATTTTTTTATAATGATTTACTGAATTTTAGAATGAAAGTTATGAACTGAAAATATTGATTAAAAATCTAAATTTAAAATAAAAAATTTATATTTTAGGTTATAAAGATAAAAAAATAAAAAATATTGGTTACTATTTTAAAAATAGAATCAAAAGAAGATGAAGATAAAAATAAAAATATTATCATGAAAATAACTGAAATAATCTATAAAAGGTTCGAAAAAAGTTTGAGAGGATATCTAATTAGCATATTTGAAAAGAAATTTTCTCCACCTTTTATACGTGCCAAAGCAAAGTTCAAGTCTTTCACGAAGAACCGGACATTTGTTGGAGCCCACCAGTTACGGACCCTAAACCACAAGATTACGCAAGCCGCTGTCGTTTTTCTCCACTTGGACCAAATTCCTCTGTTCAGCGTGCAGAAAATGAAAGAAAAATCTCTCTTTTAAGCT